CCTCTTGGAAGAGTCAATGTTTTAAAGACTCTGCAAAGCCCTGTAAGGGGAAAAAAAACCTGGTTGATTTTGTTTAGTCCAAAGTTTTCCATAATTTAGTTAACATGGAAACCTTTCTTTCAAAAATTATACTTTGTAAATGCTTACTTTGTAAAAAAACTAAAGCAAATGAGTTGCCTTGATTACAAATTTCTTAATTGTATACAATCTTCTAAGTGTATGTTAAAATAATATCACTTGTCAAGAGAACACTGTAGTTATTTTTAAAAGGTAAAATTTGATGTATTTTGCACCAGAATAAACTCACACCATATATCAGAATAAACTTCAAATGGATTAGAAGTCTAAATGTAAAAAATGAAACCATGCAAGTAACTGAAAGGAAACATGGGTGAATTTCTGTGGAACCTGGTTGTAACTATAATCCAAAATACAGAGGCAATAAAAAAAATTGATACATCTGACTACACAAAAATACAAAACTTTTGCATGGCAAAAACAAAAAACCCACCATAAGCAAAGACAAACGACAGAGTAAGGGAAAGAGAAAATTTCTGATAAAGAGGGGCAAAACATGTGAACAAACATATATATATCTCATGCGTGTACATATATGTATACATGTATGTTACATAGATGGCCTTAAACATAAGAGAATTCTCATGCTGAGAACAAATGCAGATCAAACCTGATTTGAAGTATCAGTTCTCACCTCTCAGATTGGAAAGCACTAAAATACTTGACAACAAATTCCTGTAACATTGCTCCAGAGAAATCAACATTCTCAAACATTGCTGATAAGAGTGAAGATAGGTACAGCCCTTGTAAAGGGAATTTGTCAATATCTAACAAAACCAAGTATGCATTTGCCTTTTTCCAGGAATTACACTTTTAGAAATTTGCCTTTTCAGGATATACCTCTAAGTATATAAAAGTAGATATGCCCAAAGTTACTCACTAAAGTATTTTCAATTGCAATAATTACAAAACATTGAAAGCATGCCCAAACATAGAAGAGTGGTGAAATAAATGATAGTGATCCATATGGTGGAGAACTATGCAGCTGAAAAAAAAGAATGAGGAAGGTCTCCAGCTTGGAGATTTCACAAAGAGCTTAAAATGGAATTACTACTTGACCCAGCAATCCCACTACTGGGTATATACCCAAAGGAACACAAATTGTCCTACCAAAAAGACAGTTGCACTAGTATTTTTATCACAGCACTATTCACAATAGCAAAGACATGAAACCAACCTAGGTTCCCAATCAGTAGTAGACTGGATAAAGAAAATGTGGTCCATGTACATTGTGGAATATTACACAGCCATAAAAAAGAATGAAATTGTGTCCTTTGCAGCAACATGGATACAGAATTAATGCAGAAACAGAAAACCAAATATGGCATGTTCTCATTTATAAATGAGAGCTAAAAACCGGGAACACGTGGACATAAAAATGAGGCCCATAGACATTGGCGACTCCTAAGTAGGGAAGGAAGGGAAAGGGTTACAAAACTACCTATTGGGTACCACGTTGACTATTTGGATGGCAGAGTTCATAGAAACCCAAACCTCACCATCATGCAGTATACCTATGTAACTAACCTCCACATATACCCCCTAAAGTTAAAATTTTAAAATAAAATAAAAACATTTTTTTTTTTTTTTGAGTTGGAGTCTCACTCTTTCGCCCAGACTGGAGTGCAGTGGCCGCTCCCGGCCACCGCAGCCTCGACCTGCTGGGCTCCGGCGATCCTTCCACCTCAGCCTTCCGAGTAGCCGGAATTACAGGCGCTTGCTACCACGCCCGGCTAATTTTTTTTTATTTTATTGTAGAGATGAGGTCTCGCCTGCCCAGGCGGGTCTCGAACCCGCGGGCTCAGGCAATCCACTCACCTCAGCCTCCCAAAGGCGCGGGATTACAGGCTGAGCCACCGAGCCCGGCTTAAAAACATTTTTTTAAAGAATGAAGAAATCCCCTATGAACTAGTATGGAGTGCTTTCCTGTATTTATTGTAAGCTGAAAAGATAAAAGTACAAAAGAATAACTATTCCCTTTCACATAAGAAAGGTAATTTAAAAAATAGAAATGTATCTGTTTATTTTTTTGCAAAGCAAAACACAGAACAGCAATACCAGAACTAACAAAATGTATTACCTGGAGAGGAGTGGGGATGGAATAGAAGTAATGAGGGCATGGGACAGAGTGGAAGGGATGAAAGGATGTGATTCTTACCTAAATGTGCCTTTCTGTATAGTTTTGACTTTTAATTGTTAACATTGTATATACTCAACAACCTCAACAAAAGTAATACGAATCAACAAGAATAGAAAAAAGAGCTAAAATGTAATGTAAACAGAAGCAGATGATTCTACCTGTATTTCGAATGAATAATGTAATCACACTGAAGAGAAGGAAAAAGAACCCAAATTAATCTTGAATGTGGAATTTTGACTAAAGAAGAAAAATCGCTGTAAACAAATATAGAACTCTCAACATAGGTTTGGGATGGGTTTTTGGTTTGTTTGCTTTGCTCAGCAATTCTGAAGCTACTTTTGGTATAATCTGTAATTCAGGAAATAAGTAAATCTATTGAGGATAATAGGCGCCAGTTTTCTCACTGTTAGAAGGGAGTTACAAATACAGAAAAAAGAAAGATGAGAATGAATCCGTGATATTGGGTTAGTATTAGTAGAATCAATATGAGCGCAGTTGTAGATCAGGGGTCATCAAACGTTTTCAGTAAAGGCCCAGATAATAAATACTTAACTCTGTCATTATAGCACAAAAGTAGCCACAGACAATACTTAAACAAATGAGCATGGCTGTATTCCCATAACACTTTATTTATAGGCACTGAAACTTGAATTTCATGTGTTATGAAACATTATTTTAATTTTTAACCACTTAAAAATGTAAAATCATTATTACTCTGCAGGCTGTACAAAAACAGGCAGTGAATCAGACTTAACCCATGGGCCCTAGTTTGCCAACCCCTGTTTAGATAGATATGTAAGCAGGTAGGTAGGTAGATTTGGAGATAGAGAATAAATATGATAAAATGTTAAAATTGGGAAATCTGGGTGAAGGATATACAGGAGTTCTTTATATCCTTCTTGTACCTTTTCTATAAATCTCATTTTTTAAAATCACAAAAAGAATAGCCCTGTACGTCTCATAGCTACTGCTGAGAAGGAAAAACATCAATCAAATCATTGTCCTAAGAAGTGAATGTCTTGTTTTTCAAATAACATTCACACAACAATCCCCACCCACATTTCCCCCATTATGAGGACCCTAAGTAGGAGCTCCTACTGCCATTATGTAGAGTTCCTGACATGTGGCTGGGGCGTCATCATATGATAACATTATTTTCTCCTGTTCATTCTTGCTCTCCATCACTCCTAGTGAGTAATGAGGTCACTGGGCTAGTAATTTGTCTATAACCTTGTAATTTTCTGTAATGTAGGAATTTTTGGGTCTGCTATAATTAAGTGGACTAAATAAAAGGTGCTTATCAGAAAATGCCCCATTAGCTTAGAAGTCTGTGACAAATCCTTTCTGATGCCCTTAATGTGTTATTACAAAATTCAATTACACAGCATGCTCACCTTGCTTATTTCACTAGCCGTAATCTGATGATAGCTATGGTAAGCAGTGACTGAAAGTATCTGTAAATATAACAAATAGGAATTAGGTAATTTGTGCATTAAGATACTTCTTATACTGGAAGAGTGAGTGCCTTGTAAGGAAAACCTCTGCTGTATAGAGTAGTAACCATTTAGCCATCCTTTACCGGTTTAATTCCAACAAAATTAGTTCCCACCTTGGTTTATCATTGTAGGTAAGGCCACCACACCATGATCTTCATTGGTAGTTAAGATGATAGTGGTCGTGACTGAATTTATGGAGTGCAGACTCTGTACCAAGACCCATACCAAATGTTTTTCATCCATTTTTCTATTTAATCCTAACATCAAGCTCTGTAGCACTGTCATTACCTCTATTTCACAGATGAGAGTTAGCAATATTAAGTGACTTGGCCAAGTTCTTACTGTGGGAAACATGGAGCTGGAATTGGCCTGGAGAGCCATGGTGCTCTTAACTGTTAGTTGGGACTGTCTCATACTATAGATAAAGACAGTAGGAAGGAAATACAGAAATTTAGAAAGAAATTATTTAGTCATGAGGAAATGCTCCTGTTGAGAAGAATAAAGTAAATAATACAAGGCACTAGTATCAATGCAAGAAATAGAATTCACATTTGAAAATCTTTTGTAGTCTCCTGCCTGCTTCCTTCTACTAAAAGAAGCTCAGTAGCAGGTTGAGAGATGAGAAGGACTTGAAGTAGAACACACAGTGACTCGGGCCTTCTGGGTGTCACTGGCTTGAATTGTACCCACCTTGTGATCTACTTGAGGGATCAGGAGACTGAGAAAGGATGGAGGAGGATGAAAAGAGATAGGGAAATGCCCTCACGTCCCCTTCTTTTGCCTTCCATTGCTCTAAAGCCCTCAGTTAATGCATACTTACTCCCAACACTGCAGTGGTTCCATGACAGGTCCAAGGCTGTCTTCTGCTCTGAGTCACTTAGTGGAGCATTGTCATACCTGACAGGTGGTATGTGACTATGTCAAGCTTTCTTACCCAAAGATCATAAGGAGATTCTTTCATACTGCATTTCTTCTGCATTATTGAAATAATTTTTATGTGAGAAGAACTTTGCTACAATTTAATAGCAGCAATCATAAACTTTTAAGAGGAATCGTCCTCATCTAGTCTATGTATTTAGCAAACAACTAGTTAGTTAAGTGATTGACTCCATATTAACCAGTTTATAAAGCAGAATATTAATATCTGGACATCTTGTCTTCCTGAAATATGAAGGAGGAAAAATGTTTCTTTGTGAAAGCCCTATGGAATTGAAAGTCCAGAGAAAATGTAAAATCAATGTATGAAGTTACAGACATGTGGTTCATCCATTTTGTTTTCTTTTTAGGGACTGGTTAAACATGTTGAGCCCACCAATTGTTCCTCCCAGTCAGCAGCCAGCTGAGCAACATCCGGATTCCTCTGGAAGTCTGAGTGTTCAAGGTGGGAATATGAAAAATGCTATGCATAAGAAAATAAAAAATAATTTACTATAAATAGAGAGAATCAGTCACTTTGAGATGCCACTGTTTTCATTAACTGCTGATTATTTAGGCTTACACACCCAAAGTGAGGCACCCTGTGCCTCATATTTTAGGATGATGGGTTCTTTACAGCTAAAAAGAATACAAGAGAGAAATTGTCCTTGTTCTTCTAAAGGTTAATACCAGGGCAAAATATAGTTTAAGGCATAAGAGTACAGCTTTGATGTCAAATTGACCTTCATCTGAATTCCATCTCTACCAATTCTTGCTGTGACCTTTATGAATTTTGATTACTGCATCTATAAAATAATATGGATAATAGTGCCTACCTAGTCGTTTCTTGAGAAGACTCAATGAGATGCCATATATGAGGCACTTAGAATAGTGCCTACCAAATACCAACTGTTGGCATTATTATAAAGCAGACCCAGTATTCCAACTTCACTGAAATACCTGTTTTCATTAATACAGAGATACAGTCTTTTCATTAAAGCAAAGGCTGTCATGTAGGTGCGATAGGTATTAGTAATATAAAAATTAGAAGGAAGCAGGAATGAAAATTTGCCTGGGGTTTCCTTTGTTGGCGCAAGCCATAAAGATGAACTGTTAGTTTCTGGTTGTGAGCAGGGAACTTGACTGTCAGGAATGTATGGAGAAGGAACAGAAAAGAATCTCTGGTGAAAACAGAGGGGTTGAAATGGCAGGGGCAGGGGGTAATCTCAAGTGCATAATTGGAGTGACAAATAACCCCTGAGTGGGACTCTCTGAGACAGTTTCCCGGGTTGAATTTTGAAGATGGAAATGCTATAGCTGAAGCTTTAAAAAAGTGAAAGTGAAGCCAATATAAATTGCTCCAACAAAAGTGCCAGTTTTTTATTTTTTCTTAACTGCCCCAGGGAAAAAAGTGGAGCATCCCATTTTTCTTCAGGTATGGAGTATTCAGAGTGAGAGCTCATACATCTGAGTTGTACATTTTGGCCGCCCAAGGGATGGAGATGTCTCTGTGATTTACTGTCAGAAATAGATTATGCCCCTCAAATTGGGAATCTTTTTAGAGGTGTACATTTATAATTACTTATGACAGAAAAATAGAATCTTGGCTGTCAGGAGGAGACCTTGCTGTGAGGGAACAAATAATATGTTATGTTAAGTGTCCTAAATAAGCCACAGGAACCAAGATCATGGTCCTTGAGCAAAGGCACCCAAGATATATATGAGTGAGAAGTGGCTGAAAGGATGTCTTAAAGTCACCATTGCCAAGCTGGGTTCTGACAGCAGGACCTCAATTATTTTGAAGGTAAACAGAACTTCCATTGAGGGCAAATTAACAAACTAAATTCAAAGATGGTAGAAATGTGCTGGCCAGTGTTAACCAGATTAAGCACTCCTTCTATCTGTCACCCTAGATTTTTATCAGCTGTCTCCATCCTTTTTCTCTCTTGCTTGTATGGTTTATAATTGACTAATGTCACCAAAAACTAGTATTTCCTATTTGCCCACCTTCCCCTTTTCTGATATGCTTGGGTGGCTTGTAGTTAATTAACACCATCAATAATTAGGGTTTCCTATTTGGTTAATCTTTACATGTTGATGACATAGTTTTAGATAGCATAGAACAGTTAGTATTACCAAATGATGAGAAGGCCTTGCTATCTGTTATTATAAAGTGTTTGTAAAATAAAAATGATGGGCTAAAGTTTCCAGTTTAGATCATCAGAAGAGGAAGTAAGGCATGATTGTGGACAGTCGAGGACTCTTCCTGGCTTCCTGATGCACAACTCCATTCATTTAGCACATACTTTATGTCAGGCATTGTGCTAAGTCATTACACTCAGCCCTCACAACACCACCAGTAGGAAGCCATTATTTGTGTGTGTGTGTGTGTGTGTGTGTGTGTGTGTGGTGTGGGTGTATTTGTGTGTTTTACAGCTAAGGAAACTGAAGCACAGAATTCTTAAATAACTTGCCCAAGATCACACAACTACTAACTCTCAGAGCTAGGATTTGAACCCCAGCAACCTAGCCCCAGAGCCCAATCACTATATTCTTATGCTTTGTAAGGTTTGAAAAGTAGATTACCTATTCAAAAAATAATAATATGTAAAACCAAGTATTGAAAAAAAAAATTTTAGTGAGAGAGAGAGAGACAGACAGGAAAAACAAATTAAAACATCTCAAGAGTTGATTGGCTAAATTCTTTTTTAAAAAAGACTGATCGCCTGGTTCAGTCCTGGACCTGCCTTTTTCTCCCACTCATGCTTGTTGGAAATTGCAAGTAGCCATTGTTGGCCAGAGGTAGAGCAGGGCCAAGGGAATGAATAGCTGAATGAAGGGCAAGGTCAGTGGATCATGGATCTGCTGGGCCTGGGCATTTGCATGTAGCCTGTCTCTTTAAAGGCCTTCCCAAGCAGTCCTTCTCAAGTAGATCAGTTTCCTTCTCACTGTGTTCTCTCATTTCACCTTCAACATTTTCCTCACAGTTAGTAAATCTTGATTTGTTTACTTACTGTCTTTCTTCCTAAGTAGACCAGGAGTTTTTAAGAGCAGTGACTTCGTCAGTTTGCTCACTGCTGGATCTCTGGTACCCTATGCAATTTCTGGCATATATTAGATCCTCCAAATTCTTACTAGAAAGAAACAAAGAAGGGAGAAAGGGAGGGGAGGGTGATGAGAAATATTATTTAACTGGTCATTTAAAAAATTATAACTTTAGGGAAAAGGAATAGAGCAATTCATTGAAATCTGACTTTTCAATATTACATTCCAATTTTTTTGGCATATTAGATATATTTAGTACAATAGGTATATTAGGTATATATCTAAAATTTATATATACATATATATATATATACCTAATTTGGCATATTAGGTTGATTGAGTATATTTCTAAAATTTAGTATGAGAATATTGAACTTACACCCATATATTTTAGCAATTAAAAAGTTATGCATCACCTTATGCTTTTCTTTTTTTAGATTGGAAAATATATTTAGAAAGTAAATTGGAGAGAGAAAGAGAGAGGAAATTCACCACTTTCCCAAGGTAGGGGAGGGGGTCAAACCTAGGAAACACTGTGACCATAGCTCAAAGAGCAGTATAGACATACAGAGTTTAACAAAGCAATGACCATCACCATACGCTTTTAAACTTTATTTATAAGCAGTGAAAACTTTTCCTTCAAATGAAATCTCATATGGAATTCCAATGTAAACGAGAGATAAAAAGCAGAATTTATCTGGCTAAAGGGGGAGGTAAGCTGTCAGAATCCTACCCTGGGGCTCTGATAAACCCTTTAAAAGCACTGATGTGTGAGAACATATGGTACTCTGTTCTTTCACTCATAAGTGGAACTTGAACAATTATAATACTATAAGAAAGGGATTGGCAGTAGTGGAAAACTGTCAGGGGATGGGGGCAGGATTGGCAGTTGAGGGAAACTGCTAGGGGAGGGAGGGGCATACCTCATCAGCAAGGGTACCTGCATAATCAACGTTTGTATACCTAACCCTGAATTGTACCCCGTATCTTTATAATAAAAAATAAGTTAATACATATAAAAATTTTTTTAAAGCACTGATGTGGTCCAACACCCACAACTTGCCTAAAGAGGTAAACGACTTGCCCAAGGTCAAATACCAATCAGAGGCTCAGCTAGGATTAGGATCCAGGTTGCCTCCACATCAGTGCCCTTTCTGCAGAACCATTTCACTGGGATGTGAATGTGGTTCCTGAGGGCTTGTTCACAGAACAAAGCGATCTCCCATCTTTGGACTTCTAAGATAAAAATAATAAAAGGTAGTGTTTATTTAGTCTTCTGTGTACTTTATACATGTGTACTTGAGTTCTCACAATAGCCTACTGAGGTATGGTTATTATCCCCATCTTCCACATGCACTGGGACTGTTAGTAGTACAGTGATGTGCTGAACCACCACACCACATGGAGACACCAAGATGCGTTTGTGCAGCTGGGAATATTACTGCATTTTAACAGCAGGGAAGGATAGCCTGACCAATACATAATTCTGGAAAACTTGCACCAGGCCGCACAGAAATAGGTACATGAGTTATATCTGGTCCTTGAGTCAGAGGTTCCCATCCCAACTTTATTCAGTAGGAATTTGTGTCACAGTGACAATTTCTGCTCAGCTACAATGTCTCAGGTTCATGAATGCCACCTTCAAGTGAACAGCCCCGTCTCCAGCAGAGCCAGCCAGCAGTGAGAAAAGCATTGCACTCAGATCCCTGCCATCTCACTGGATGGGGAACGGTCAGCTCTTCACCGTTCCTCCTGGGCTATAATATGCTTGTTGAATATCAATTACCACGGGCATGGTGCCCTTAACACTTACTAAAATGTGTTTTCCTGGAGCTCGTGTGAAATGTAAAAATGAGAAGTTAAGATTTCAGAACTTACTCGAAAAACCTACCAAACTGACCTTTTGAAAATGAACCGTACTTTGCTTGAAGAATAGTTGTCAATTTGTTTTTGACATTTGTTCCTTTACAGATATGACCCTTAAATTATTCATGCTTACCAGCTTCCAAATAGAATAATAATAACCTCTCTCTTCAGGCCTGGAGACCTCTCTTACAGTTTACATAGATTTTGAGTAAGAAAGGTATTCAAAGGGGTTTTTGGAGTTGCCAGAATCTCGTAAAAATAATATTCTCTTAACTTTTTCATGGCAAAGCCACATAGAATATTCCTTTATGAACATTTATTAATCTCCCATAAAATACAAGTAGGTAGCAGATGCTTATTTTATAGGTGTAATATCCAGATTACCAGTAAGGAATGTACAGAAATCTTATACTCTCCACAGGTAACCAGAGAGAGGGGTGTCTGGCTTCCTGCTTTTCTCCAACAGAGGAATCCTTCCACTGTCCTCCTATTTTCTGCCACATAACTATTTGGCATTCATCTAACACTGTGATTCTAAAAGTCACTGAACAACTATGGTACTCCCAGTGCCTAGCATGGCCATGTGGTGTCCAGGACACAATAAACATT